ACAAGTGGACAAACCAGTGTATTTTGAGCTTAGGAAGGCGGGGCCACCTGAGGCCGGAGGCCGTAACATTATAGAAACACTGACACATCAGCCAAAGAACTACTGCTTTATTTTTTAACTAGAAAGACTTAAATCTGTGGGACTAGTGTATTCATAATGGAAAATGTCAATTGTCGCTGGTAATTTTAACACAGCATATGAGCCATTACACAAGGAATGAAAATAAGAGACAGTTCAGGTTTCTCAGTAAACACAGATGAAAGTTATGCCTGCTGGAAACAAACCAAGGACTATGCAATCTGAGCTCTATAAAATATGTAGTGTACATCTCAACCAGTGGGACCAGATTTCCCTGCTTTAAAAAAAAAGTAGGTTCCTATGAAAACTCCAATCAATCCAAGACTCAGGCCAAGTCCACAGAAGACAGCTGGACCTTTGCTGAGCTCATCTGTTTCAACCTCTGCAGAGGACAGCAGAAAGAAATGATGAATTCTAGACATTAAATCGTAATATATGTGCTAAAATATCTGAAGCTTCTTTGTTCTCACCCCAAAACTTGGTCTGAGGCTCGTCCAGCAATTCATGTTCCACAGTGCAACTGTAGATGTCTCCTTTCTCTGGCACAAAGTTGAAGTAGGACAAAACATAAGCAGTCCCATCAGGATTGGACAAAGTTTTGATGAAAGGGTCTTCCACTGTTACTTCTACATCATTCTTGGTCCACTTAATGTTGATCGAAGGAGGAAAGAAGTGGTTGATGAAGCAGATGAGGGTATTATCTTCCCCTGTTATCACTTCATCTCTGGGGTAGATGATGAATTCTGGTGGTTCTAAATTAAATGAACACATGATTTTCTTAAATTCAACTTTCTCGTTTAAAAAAAAAGATCTAAAAAACTTGCAGCATAAACAGTGAAAACTGAACAGGAAACATAACAGTTTGAGTTTCACTGACCTTTTTTCTTTATTACAGACTTGTCTGGCTTCCATCTGTAGATGTCATTTTTGCACATACTTCGATATAATACTGCATATTGGTAGGCGTCGGGTAAATGAAAACTTACGGGAATTTTGCTCTCCCAAATCAGAAGATCTTTTTTAAAGTCTGCATAGTATACGTCATCACCATCGAATGCTGCACAGATTTGAGTATCACTTGAGTCAAAACATCCATAGATGTGACAAAGTGTATGACTTCCTAGGATCAAGTGACAACACAGTTAAAAACACAGTGTTAATATATTCTAAATTACAAAAACAATAAGTCATAAACACAGCTTACAAGATGAAAGTTTACGGATTAACCAGTAATGGGAAATAATGATACCTACCTTCAGCCTCGACGCAGGCTGCTGTAGACAAAATAATTATGGTTTTAAGGAACATATTCAGTCTGTACTTCTCGGTGTTCTGCCTTGTCTTTAGTATCAAAGTTGACGCTGATACAAGACAACTTCCTCATTGTTAAACAAATCATATAAATGTTGCTGGGAAGAGAACAGGAGGAGGGGAAGAGTCAAGTAGAACTTGCTGAACAGCTTAAACTAAGATAAATACAGTTTATTGAGCAAAAAATCAAATCCAAATGAGCACATTCACTGTGGATACTGTTGGGTTTTTATGAGAGCGAAGCCAAAAATGCTCAAATTATCAGTTTTCAGAATTTATAATTAAACATTTAGAATTTCAAATTAGTTTTACATGGTGCCGTGGACCTCCGTCTCTCTGGCTCAGAGACAAAATGCTGCTATACTCAGGCAGTAAAGACTTTTATTGCGTGTGGTAAAACCAGAATGTTAACATGATTGGTCAGCAGTTGGAGACTTTAGACCCTGTGTATGCCGGCTTGTACATATACACGAGAGACACGAGAGTTCTTCTTTACTTATGTTTACTGTGCTTCTCTAAACGTACACAGGTACACCGTAGAACTGGTGATTACAATTGTACAAGAAAATTATATTCCAGCCTTTAAACATATTGCAATATAAAATTCACAAAATATAAACAAACATACCACTTTGTGG